TTGCCCATTTGCTAATGAACGGCTTTGCATTTGAACGCATTTGTGAGGGAAACCTACAAAACTTATCCGTTCACACAGACAAGTGATGAGATCCAAACGGAAAAGAACTAAGTGACTTGAGTGGGGCGAGCAGCCATTGCTTCAAACTGTAGAACACCAGCTTATCAAGACTTGTCATCGGTAAAAACCGTGCCAAGACCTTAGTCGTAATCTACAGACCCGCAGTCACCCACAGAACCTACCTTCCTGCCGACGTCATAATCAGACGACTGGCCAAAAATAATGTCCAAATCTTCATCTGAATATCGTTTGGTGAACATCGCAATGACGTCTTCGGCAGTAAAATTACCATGAGGATACTGGTGGTGTATCTACAAGAAAACGACGTGCCAACGTCTACGAATATTACTCTGTTTCTTAGTACTTTGTTTAGGAAACGCAACGCCATTGGTGCGTCCTGGTCGCTGACAATGAAATTGAACGCGTTCAACAACGCGACGCCAGCATCGTCAAAACCGCTGGACGACTCGTTGCTGTTAACCACAAAAATAAGGCCAATCCTTCAAAAAAATACAAACAGCATTGCTGATAAAGATTAGAAATCAGTAGCAAAGCGAGTTACTTGAAAGGCAGCTCATGCTCGTAAAATGAGTAGGCAGTATCCAACAGAGTTCTGCTCTCCGCCGACGCCGGATCGACCATGAAAACCTACGCATAATGTGGTGAACACAATCACACAAATGCACACACGGTCAATGCCGCGCTCAACCGAACGGTACACATTACCAGTGTGAAGAAGTTCCTGGCAATCGGTCGCATCATTCTGGGAAAGTAAGGTTGCAGTATCAAATTTACGCTGTTGCCCCATCCACGGTAAGGAGCGCCCGTTTCAAGGTCGTTAACGTACTAAAATATGTCTACGTCTACAAGCACCCGCAAACATGCCGTCATACGAAAGGAGAAGCTTTGGAATAATCGATGGCGTATTTGCTGCCTTCTAAAAGCTGGTTCATAGCCAACAGGAACGCCAAGTATTCGTTCTAAAATTATTAATGTCTGCTCAGACAACTGCCAGAAAAAAATATGCATTGTCTGCAAGATGTCAAAATAAGTCAAAAATTAAAAAAACGGCAGAATCCTTATTAAACAGCCTTGTATTCAACCCAATGGTTATCTGGGATATTGTCCGTAAAGTCATGTCATCCTGGCTACGTAGATTCTGACTCAAAAAGTAGGGTACGATAGTTCGTCAAACCTTTACGAAATAAGGAATCTATGCTGAAAGATCGAACATGGTTATATAAATCGAACATGGTAAACATGTAAACATGAGTAAGTTGCTTCTGACCTACATTACTGCAATCAAAAACTATCGCATAAATCTTAAATCATCTTATTCACAGTCAACTGAATGTGACTGCCAGACCGTATCGTCAATCATATGAATCAAGGGAATTTCTTCCCTTACGTGTCATAAATCAGGAAGGTACGTAGACTACAGATCCTCGGATTTGCAGACCAGTCTAAAAGTGAAGGGAGAAATAAAGACCTGATAGTGACCAGGAATCTGTGCCATATGAATGTGAATCCAATTCCTCAAAATGTGCAAATTTGTAACCCAAAGGCGCAGTACTACTTTGGCTGTTCTTCGTTCTTTATGACGTGAACGTCGAAGCTGTTATATTCAACAGCCCAGCGAAAAATCGTGTTTAAAAACGATAAAAACGCTACAGATACTTGCTGAATCACATAAGAACTATGATCTAGTCATTAAATTGTCAAC